ATTTCTGCAGCGCTGATGAACAATCAGCTGTTTCGATAAACGCTGAAAAAAGAAAAATTGCTGTTAACAAATGAACTATTGCTCTACTGAATGAACGATTTATTGATAGGAGTTAAATGTTTCCCCTATAAAAATGACCAGTTTCCGAACTGAAGCTGAGTCAAACAGCAGATAAAACCAAACTAACCAGAAAATAAAAACGACATTTGAAAGACATTCTGAAACCCAGATGATTGATGGAAATCCTTTCAAAATATGGCTCCTTGAAAGCAATAAATGAGTAAATGCACCAAGTCTTTAGCACAGATTTGTGCCTAAGCAAGACGAGAGTAAAAAAAACATTAAACCAAACACAATGAACATGTTTTCATTTCACTTCTTGTTGAAGTGGTGAAGTAGTAGAGAAGTCAACTCTCCTCTGAGTAGGTGGTGCTGGTCTGCTGAATGCCTGCAGAGGTCTGTGATAACCAGGCAACAGAGACACAGGCTGCCTGGTCCTGCATCAGAGGAATGACTCTTTAAACAGGGATCCTTGTAAACCTGTTTTGTTCAGGATGTCTTCCAAAATGGATCATGAATGAGAAAAAGCATTTACTTTTTCTTTTCAGAGCTCGCGTTTGCAAACAAGTGATGATATCCGTCTTTCTGGTCTCTTTTCTTCAGCTGTACTGCTTTGTCCCCACCGAGTCAGAGATAAAGGACGTCTGCAAATGGAAACTCCAATCAACAATGTATTTTTTTCCCTAATGTTAGGCTGCAGAAACACTGAAAGCCTCAGTTCTGGTCGATTTGACGACATTCCAAAGGGCCTAGGAGCTAATTTCTGTCAATTTGATGCTGAATTATTGAGGGTTATGTGGAGTTTGTGTGACATTAGAAATCTTCCTTCTTATGTTTTTCCCTATGCAAAGCCACTTTCAGTGATATTGGCAGCTAAATGGAGCAATCTATCCGTGCAGATTGCTAAAATCCATCGGAGGGTTTTGGTGACAAATGCTTTTCTGTATGAAGAGAAGAAATCAGTTCAAAACAGAAAAAACCAAATCGAAGGACAGTTCTCTAGGAAAATTTTCTATTTACCAATCCAAATAATGGAATTGATTGCATGTACAAAAAATAACATGGTTCCTTAGGTAAATGTGCATTTCATAAATATTTATGCAGATTTAGGAACCAGAATCGGACTGGTGTTGCATCCCAAGTAATTATAGTTATTTACTTCCAGGTATTTTTATCTATCTTCAGTTTGTTCTTTCTAACCATACAGAAAAAGCACACTTTAAATATGTTAAGATAAAGTTTTTAGTGTTTTTTTTAAGAAAACAGTAAGAATGGGCCAAAAACTCAAAAATATTCCTCAGTGACCTTCAGCTCAATAACATGGGAGAATAAGAAGGATGCACGCACCTTTGATTGCTTTTGCCTTCATTGTAGAATTCGGTCTGTGTTTGTAGACGGTTAATTGCTCGGTTATGTTTGTGCAGGTTTGTTCTGTTAGTGGCAGGAATCAAAAACACACATAGTTTCATTTCCCTCGGCTGTCCAGTAAGACAAAAGACAGACACACATCAACACACCCACACACCTCCATGTGGACCAGCAGCCGACATGTTTCCCATTAAGCAGGCCGGGTATTAGGTTGTTCAAAGATGAGAGCCTTAAATCACAGGATTACACACAACCTCCAGGATCAAATCAGCTGGGCAATTTGCTGTCCTGCATGATTATGCTTTCTGTTTAAAGTGAATTTAGCTGAAGGCTGCTGTTTCCGCTACCTCGCTTATTTTCAGGATGTGTTTATTGAACGACGTGTTTACAAACTTGGCCAAAAATAGAACCAAAAACTCTGCGTTAGCATGTAAAAATGATGTTTGTCAAGGTTAGTGCTTAAGAATGTGTTCATTTCAGATTCAGATTTCAAAAAGTAAAAATAGCCATTCCTCTGGAAACAAACAGGAGTGCACTTGATTTGGAAAACGAAGCCGTAATAAGTATTACAAGCCAAAAAAAATAAATAAATAAAAAAAGGTCTGGCGAATGAAAACCTGCGGCTGTGACCTGGCAAGCGACACTGAACAAGTTCATGTTGAGAGCAGACAGAAGACAAAATGAGGCAAACCAGTGAGCAGACAGAGGGGGGAAAAAATCAAGAAGAAAGCAAAGATGATCCATGTGAAATCCCACACATAGCCACAAAATATAAAATATTGTAAAGAAGAGGAAGAAACATCAACCGAAGGGAAACAAAGTCTCATGGCACCAAACTCCACTCCATCTATCATCTAGCAGAAAACAATAAAACGATTGTTGTGTTTAGGTGTAATTTACTGCATGGAGTGAACGCGCAGTAATGAAAATTTCTGCTGGAGAAAAACTTTGAATGACATTGCTTTTTAATTTTTTTTTAATTTCCGTCTGCATCGCAGAAAATCACAGACTCAGAGGATTTGCCATTTGATCATAAGTAGGAGGGGGGAAATGTAACCTGAAAGAACAAAAACCCATGAGGAACATCTGTCTTGCAGCAACACTGTGATAACTCTGAATCAAGGCAGATTTCTGCATGGAATAAAATCACAAACACAGAGTCGGGGAAAGAAAAAAAAAAAATACAGCACACGTCCCATTCAGCTTTCCTATATTTAGGCTTTTCTCACCTGCAAGTGTAAATGAGTTGGTGGAGCAACTTGTTCAGGAAGGAGCTCAACATAGTCAGAACTGAGCAAACTAAAATTTCATTGTACAAGAATTATTTTGTGCAAAACATCTAATGAACATGATTTGTACGTCCCACAGATCCATCCTAACTTATCCTTCAAAATGTGGACCTAAATGGTTCCCAGTAGCTTGTTTGAAGCAAATTAGCTGAACGTGTGATAGCAGCAGAAGGACAGCTTCATCCCTCAGGGCTGCAGGAGAAAGACAAGAGAGAAAACTGACCTCCTGAAAGGAAACCCAAATGAAACCAAAGAAATGACAGAGTGGTTTCCTGGAGTCCAGCTGTGTTACACGTTCCTCTCCTGTCTTCTGTGAGGTCCGCTTTCCACTGCACCATTTTCTCTCTACATTTTTTTTTTTGCTGCTTCGTCTATTGGTATGTCTCCTCATCAACCTTTGCCTTTATTGTTTTTGGTTGGACAGCATACATCTCATTCAGACTCTAATAAGCCCTCTGGAAATATTTTGCATGTCCCAACTGGCCTCTATTACTTAATTTAGCTTTATTGAAACATATTTCATTTTCCTTCCCTCGGCCTTACTGTGTTTGGTTTGACTTTCTTTCTTTCTATTTTTTTTATTAGGTTGTAAAAACACATCAGATTCCTTAGTTTAGAGTGATGTATCTCTGAAACTACATTTTAATAAACACTTCTTACACCACGTCTGGGTCTCAGCTGAGTAAGCATGGTACAGAAACCCCATAATCGTTTCTGAACCCCAAAGGTCTAAAACACGCAACTCTGACCCCGTAAGACACTTGGTCCACGTCCAAATCGTGTCTCTGGTTCCTCGCATGCATCCGCACACAGGTCAGAGGAGAAAGCGGTGCGGTAAAATTAATCCGCTCCATTTGGTTCCCCGTTATTGGAAGTGACAGCGTCATGAAGCCACTCGGGCTCCCTGGCGCTGCGGACGAACGTCCACAAGAAGAAGCCTCCGGTGCTAAAATTTCAGGCTGGGTTCACGTCTGCCTTTTTACTCCTTGACTCTTTAGCGGAAAAGTGATTGTTAAACAAGTTTCGTATCTGTGGTGGATAATGTAAAGTGACAGAACCTCATGAATTATTCACTCAGCCTTCAGGAGGCGATTCTTCGAAGCGAGGCCTTCTGAAGTTTTGGCCGGGTTTAGTTTTTTTTCCTGTGTGTGTTGCGGGACGCGGGGCCTCAAGAGTTTTTCTTTCCCTTTGTTGGGTGGTTTGTCGTTCAGTTTGTCCCGCTGCCTGACTTTTGCTACTATCAAAGTGAGTAATTCCAAGTGACGGCTTCTGATGGTAAGAGAATGAATCCGGAACCGTTCAGAACCGCATCAGGCTGCTCTCAGGGCACATTTTTAAAAATAATTATATTTTTGATGTTTGCATGTTAGCTCTGATGTACGACAGATTGGACTGAGACAAGCTGACCCAAAGTGTAAGTAGCGCCAATCCTTGTTGCTAGAAAACGGTAAAACAACAACATGTGACCAAACAGTCGGTGAAGGCAGGAAGTGCATGGATGTGGTTGTTAGACTTTTATTCATTAAAACATGCTTTTCAGTCTTAAAAGTGAATTTCATAGGAATTGTATTTAGACACTAACAGGTATTTTTACATTTATTTTATATTTCCTTTGTGCTCTGTATGAGCTGCAGCAGGCGATCATAAAGAGAAGGGAAAAGTGCGGCATTTTGTCCGCGGGCTCAAATAAAGTCAAACTGGAAGCTCTTGGGTACCGTTGAGCCATTAGACAAATCTTTTTGTTATGTTTACACTCGTTCTGAAAATATATGCAACATATATAAGCTAGAGGCGAAATTAAGGCCTTATTGTGGTGGTCCGAAATATGAGAAATGGCTGATTTCATTGCAGTCTCCCCCTATTGTAACTTTTAAATAAAATTCAAATCATGTGACCCAAATAAATAAAATTGGTTGATGTTTTTTTCCACCATTTTTACAGGCCTGGTCTGGACACCCTGTGAACATTTCTGAGAGAATAACAGTTTCTAGCTGATATTGTTAATTATTTGACTCATGGCAGAAGTAGTTACACTTGATTTCATTTAAGGGTGTCAAATCAAAAGGGGACAAATAAAAAAAATGTGCCATTATTTTTGTAGTTTTGTTTAAAAACAGTTAGTAAACCCCTTATTCTTCTTCGCCCGGATCAGAGCCACAAAAGGCCGATTAAACACAGAGATATCACAGGACATCGTGCAGGAAAATTTGATCAAACAATTATGAACACTTTTACAAAGCTGTACGATTCCTTCAACAAATTGCCAAAAATAGAAGAAGTGAATCTAGTTATCTTGTTATGCTTTATTGAAAAATGGGCAGAGATATAAAAATAAAAACAACAAAAATAAAAAATACAACCTCTTGGCTTACAAGCTGTGAGAAACAGGAAGTAATCTTCTAAACCGTTACAGAGGAATAAGTCAGAAGCTGCCACGAGAGAAAAAATACATTTTCACATTGTCTTGGGCTCCGAAATAAAAACTCATTTTGATTAATTTAAAAATACAACAGTAGAGAGCAAGAGTTACGCTGGATGTGAATTTCTCCAAACAGACTTAAAAGATGTTAAAAATGTTAAAACACAGAAAAAAACACAGTTTCAAAAGGCTTTTTGTCGATCGGATTACATTTTCTTAGATTTTGCTGAAAGTCATTATCACCATGTTTGATTCCCATAAATTTATAGTTTCAGTACATTCTCCATGTCCACAGACTGAGCACGAGAAAATGTTACAAAATGTTATTTCTCTTCACCAATTTCAATGGGTGGAGTAGTTTGGTAATGAGCAACAAATAAAAAAAAAAAAACCCAAAATGTTTACCTTTAAATACCTTATTGAAACACTTTGTTTTCTGAGCAGCGTGTTCATACAATTTAGTTTAATCACACAGGATCAACACAGGGTGTTCAGTTCTAGTCCATTAATGAGAGATTAATTACGAGATTATTGCACTGTTTGCTCCAAAATGGTGAGAAAATCACAGACAGCAACAGAGCGAAACAGACCAGCACAAAATGACCATAAAAACGAAGATCACAACCACCTGGTTCTGAACTGAGGAAAGGCTTTTTGGTGCTGGCAGATTGAAAGCACGTGCTGGCCGCTCACATCTAAGCTGAGTTTTGGTTCTGTCTCGGCTCATTGGCTGTTGACACGTCACACATCGACTAAAGTAAAACTATAAAAAAAAATAAAAATAAAATAGTTCAGTTGGTTTGACTCGAGCTCAGGAAGCTTAGCGCTCAAAAGCAATTTCAAAAGTCTTCTTTAAAAAAAAAAAGTCAGCTTTAGCATCTCATTTTGACTGGTAAAGAAACATTAAGAGAGAGAAAAAAATACATTTAACTGAAGCAGTCAGACAGTGATGGTGTTGCATTTCTTTGCATACAGGATTACATACTCTTTATTTGTGGTAAAGACATTTAATACTGAAAAATCCACCTTCATTTAGTAGCTCTCACCTACTTATGATTAAAAAAAAACAATTAGTAATATTTCACATATAAAAAGGATAAAAAAATACACTAAAGGACACATCTGATAATAAAGTGGCTCAAATATATATGTAAAAAAAATAGAAAAAAAGTGGATAAACAAAAACTTCCCTTTTGCCAACCTTAACATTTCCCTCTGTGACATTCATGACCCGAATAATTTTGACAATTGATTAGCTTTTTATTCCTAAAAAAGGAATGGTGTTGGTATAAAACACTAAACTCTTTTCACTAAAAAAACCCCCTGAACCTAAGATGATAGAGGAATCCATGTTTTTTGAGGTGGACATGTTTTCTATTGCTAAATTGTTTCAACAAAAATACGTTCTTTCCCTTGCATGGCTTCAACTTCGTCTGGCAAAAGTCCTGTTATCAGTAAATGCTCAAGACTTCATTTTATCTCCCAGTTGTTAGTAGATGTTCCCTCTTACATAAAAGAATGAAAAAGAAGCGATACACAGTGGTATAAATGGCTCTGACCCGTCTTTGTGAACCCTCAGCACCATGAAGCCAGGCTGGCTGTTTACCTGTCCATCAAACATGGACGCCAGGCTGGCCTCTCATCGTCTGCAGCGGAGTTCAGCTGGCATGTGTGGAAAACCCACATTCGATGTCGAAGAAGGACCAGATGGAGGCCAGAGAGGAAATTTATTGGACATGGTGATGGAGAGCATGCAGGTGATTTTTGTGAGAGAAGAAGTGGGAGGAGATGGAAACCTGGGGATGTTTTAGTAGAAAAGGAGACATGTTTGCCTCGCATGAGTTTCCTTTGGTGTTCTTCTTCTTTTCACCAAAGCTCAACTGATGCGTCAGCGTCCTCTTGGAGACATTGTTAGTGTTCAAGAGGTTACGATGTTACGAAGTCACAAAGCTTTTGTGTCACAATGCTCGAGGTTTCTCTTTACAGGTGTGTAGGAAAAAAAACCCCCAAAAAACATCCCTGATTATTTACAGTCACAGAAGCAGAGTTAATTCAATCGATCCACGTTCAGAGACACGTTCCTGTTTGCATCCTGCTGGTTCAAAGTTTTATCACTGCATGTGGAGCTTGTGTGGATTTCAGAAGACGACTCCTCGCCCTCTTGGCTCGGGGGGAGAGGGGATGACGGCGGTGCGCTCAGTGCAGGTTTGGAGGTGAAGTGCTGCTTCTGCAAGCGGTCCACAGACAGGTGGACAGGTAGGTAGCGTACAGCGTGTTTGCAAACATCCAAAGCCGTGTCAGGGAGGTACAGAGGTTTGACCTGGGGGTTGAGGGGGTTCAGATCCAGAGGCAGTGCGCTCCCTGCCCCTTTCTCTGCAGTTTAGACTTTCTTGGTGTTGCGTCTCTTGGATTTTTTCACCCTGGGGAGAAAAGTAGAGGTACGAGAAGGTTAGGGTTTGACTTTTGTGACGTCTCAACAGTGTGTAGACAATCTCTTCTTATTCAGCAGGACGTCGTAGCAGGAAAACAGTCGAAGCTGCCGTCGCCAATAGCTACATCCAGCTTCTGGAAACCAAATGTGACTCGCTGGAATGACGTCGACATCCTGAAGTCAAATTTAACAAGCGACATTTTGGATGCGCTACGTCTGAAGGAAGATACTTGGCCTCTGGGAACGACAACTGCTGTTCATTTAAGTTCACACACTGTACAAACACACAACCTTAACGAGTGTTTCTGATCCAGTTTCTATTGCAAATATTTTAGCACACTTGAAATAAGACAAACTAACTTACAAGTAACTTTTCAGCAAAATGCCAGAGCTAGTTTTAAGTTAATAGAATACAATATTGATTTTAAAAAAGTATTAGTTCCACTAGCAGATTATTTTACTGAGAACAAAACATTATTCCAATGTTATAATTACTTTTTTATATATATATAGTTACCTTGTCATCAATTATAAGAAATTATTGACTTAAACAGGATCCTGTATCTTGATAAACAGCAACTTGTAAGTGATTTTTGTCCTATTTGAGCTGTATTAATATATTTACACTAGAAACTAGACCAAAAGTTCTTGGTAAGGTTTTATGATTTTGCAGTGTAGGAGTTGTAAGTATTTTTTTTTTTCAAATTAATTGTTTGTTTAAATTTAAATTATAATCTATGATCTACAAGAATTTAAAGTTATGACAATATATTTTAAAGCTTTCATATTTGTCTTTGGGAATTGCTTTGGAAAGTGTTTATAATGTTTCAGAAAACAAAAATTTAAATGGAGGTTCAGTCGTTTCATTTGTCAGGAGACGTCAGACGTTTCAAAGATGCATTTCATGCGCTTCTGATGACATGCAGCTGGCGAAGATATAAACGTGGAAATATGCAGGACAAAGGTAAAAACCGAACATCTGCTTTCAAGTTTATACCTTATGCGAACTTTGGATTAAATGTTTAGCAAGTTTGTGGAAACAAAGCCGTGCGAATCGCAGTGGAAGATTTAAGTCTGTCCATAAATCAGTGGAAATAATTTCCCGCCTGCTGCACGTAAACAATTTCAGAGAGTAATTGTAAGCGGGAATGTGAGAAGTTTGTTTCTTTTCTGGCGACATCTAAACCCGCGTGATCAGAGACGCGCATTTCTTGTTTTGTGAGGGACCATTCGTCGACAGCAAAAAGGTTTTTTTCTTTTGCTCTTACTTGTTGATGGCGTTCTTCAGGTATCCTTGCAACCACTTGGTCTCGGGGTTGATGCAAACCTCCCTGTTGTTCTTCAGTTTAGCACTACGGAAGAAAAAAGACAAAACAACATAAACTCCATGCCGTTTGTCTGTGCTTATTGTCTGCTTATTACCATTCGACATGCAGATGGACATTTACTTCTCCAGTTTCTCTGCTAACACGTGTGTTTACACAGAGACAGAGAGGAAGTTTTTGAGTCTCATTCAAGCATGCGTATTATAAATCAGCTTCAAGGACATCATGGAGGGATATTTATGCTGTAGGAGCTTTTTTTTTCCACCCCTGCATCTTGGTATTGTCTACAAAACATCATGCATCTTAATCAAAGCATTACAAAAAACAGGAGGAAGTTGTTGCTGGTTTATTAATTCAAGATGCTCGCTTTATGTTTTCTGCTGGATGTGTTACGAAAAGCTTCAGTTAGATCTTGTTGAAACCCTAACAATGTGCAAAGAGTCTCAAAATGAATTTATCTTGCTGATGATTCCCTTAAACATTTTTGTTCTCGAATGTTTAGCTTGAGTAAAGCAAACATTTGAAAAAATTCCACATAAAATAAATGAAATATTGTAACCCACAAGCAACCCGAATTAAATGCCACAGAAACATTTTACCACTGATTATTTCCGCTGTTCTAAAGTTGCTCTGATAGTCTGGAAATGTTCCCGTTGTGGTAATAAGACCAATTTGTCTTTTTTGTTAGGGCAAAATTATTCTAGGGTCTTCAAAAATCTGGAAAATGCTGCAGAAAACTGCATCTTTGTTCATGTAAGAAGCATGAACATGCCCATATCTACTTTAAACTCCTGAAACTGTGACAAACGAAGCCTCACATCAGAGATGACACTGAAATCTCTACGTAAAGAGGCCTCTGCAAAGCGCATTAAACATCCTTACACATCTGGCATCTACAGATCGCCTCGGTTTCATTTGAAACTTTCTTCTTAAATTGCTTGTCAGCTGATTGATCATTTTTCAAACCTCCCCTGTAAAAAAAGGATTACTGGTTGTTCTAAGATGTTGGAAGGGAAACACTAAATCAAACCTTATCAGCGTTTCATTCAAAGAACAAGGAAACAGAACTTTCCTTATCAGTTGATTAAAAGCTAATCTATCCAGGGTTCAAGTTTAGCTGAATAAATCGAAGGGATTTTAATGCTAAATTACTCGTGAAGCACCATAAATATGTCTCACATGGTTTTGCTCCAAAGCACCTCGTTTTAAAAGAATCTCAGCACGTCCTAAAGCCCGTTTAAACGAGACAGATTACGATATTACAGCGGGTTTCTGTATGTTTGGGGCCGAGGGTGAAAAATCGCAGCTTTCTGTTTCCACTCAGAGCCTCACATCAGAGATGACGCTGAAATCTCTACGTAAAGACGCCTCTGCAAAGCGCATTGAACATCCTTACACATCTGGCATCTACAGATCGCCTCGGTTTCATTTGAAACTTTCTTCTGTTTTGGTTTACTGTGAATTAATTACATAAAATATTGCAGTTTTGCTTTTTACATGTAGACATGATTTTTGCTGGCTTGAATCCAGATTATTTGATTTGATAAGGGCTCAGGCACACATGCTCCTGATATCTAATTGAAATGACGTAACTCGTTTGAGTCCATTCCTGCAGTTCTGATATTTATCGACTAAACATTTACAGTGAAACAGACACTATAACTCAAACTGTTGACTCATTTGTTTGCATAATTTGGCATTGATAAACAATTCCTCAAGACATCATTCACACACTTTTATATCTCACATTTCTGTGGTGCGTTCAGGTTCTTTAGAGAAAAAAAACAAAAAACACAGGTCTTCTTGTAATGTTAGATCCCAGTTTGCCTCCAAAGCCCATACTGGGATTCATAGTGGGAACCACTGCTGGCCAGGTTTAAAACGTTCCATCTCCTCCTCTTTAATCACATTTCCATGCTCTTTTGTCTGCTGCTTTCACCGCCGGCGATCTGCAGAACGATTTAACTCTGAATCCGAGTTTACAGAAATACACAGAGATACTTCCAGTTTCCTCATGATTTTATTATTACTGCGTAAAATATTTGTCAATGAATTTTAGTCCTGAAAATCGTTCGTCTCTTCTGCAAGTATTAAAGCTAATTTATGCAAATGAAAACTGTTTCGCAACACGACTGACGTGTGAAACTGTAGGAGCAAAATATCACACTTACTTCAGGAGCTTTACAGTTTTCTTTTAAATCGTTTTTCTCTCCATTCTGCTCCAAACATGAAGGCGAAATAAATGTGTGCTTTCATCCGCCCATGAACTTCACAATTCAAGTCGTTTTAAACATTAATATATATTTTTTCTGCTGATTCACGAGAATTCACACACAGCCTTCCTTGAATGTCACTTTCTCTTAACTTTCCCATTTTGAAGAGAAATAATTAAGGCTGACAAAGGGTTTGGTAACTTGAGATTTCTTTCTTTCTTTTGTAATTTTATTTCTTCAATATTTTTGCATCAAAAGGCTCGAATAGACAATAAACTAATATAGAGACATTTTTGCTCACAGAATTTAGTTCCTTAAACCACGTAAACTACGGTTATTCATCCTAATGTCTTGGTGTTCCTGGCCTGTCGGTGAAAAGGTGGTGAAAGGATCAGTTTTCTTGTCCGGTTGAGTTTCAGATCTGACTGGTAAAGGTAATTTTATTTATATAGCACATTTTCAGCAGCAAGGCAATAAAAGTGCTTTACAAGGTTTAAAAGGAAATACAAACAAAATAACCAAAGGAAAGAGTGAAAGAAGAAAAAGCTAATAAAGTTGATCCAAGGTAAATAAACTAGAAACTCCTATTCAGGGTTGGTCGTTAAGTTTAAGTATCCTCTGGTGTGATTCCTTTTCTGGTTTGGAAGAATAAAACGCAGTTGCTGATGTAGTTTTTCTGGATTCTAAGTTTGCTCTACTCCCTGTTCTGGGAAGATAAATAAGTGAAAGTAAGTATCCTCTGGTCTTCTGGGTTGCTAGATGGACAGTAATGGGGGGGCATCAGGCTGTAACGCGTCGCCTCCTCTTAAAACATATGGCTGATCTCACACCGCGGTGCCAAAAGGTCACGAATGCGAGCTCACAGCTCGGAGGTGCAGCAGCTCTCTGCTCCGCTCTTCTCCTCCCTGTCTCTCTGTCACACAACTGTAAATTCAACACATTCCTCAGACTGCGACCCTCTTCCACGCTCACCACTTTCCCTATCCCGTCAGCCCGTCCAGATGTTCCCACACGCATTCGCAGGAGGATCCCCCTTCGCTTACAGTGCCCTCCGGGAGCGCCGGTCCGAGCATCAAGTCTCCCAAACCAACACGCGAAGCCGGGAGGCCGAGCGTCCCAGAAACCAGATCTCTGTTTGCTTCTCCTCAGGGGATGCCTCCCCTTCTCCCTCTTCCCTTTCTTTCACATTTCATCAGGGCTTGCCAGACCATCCATTCAGAAGCTCTTTATGGTTTGACGCGTCTCCCTTCGCCCGGTCTGGAAGACGCTCCGAGAGGCTGAACCCTAATTGACTTAACTGGAAGTTGTGGGCCGGAGCTCCAGCAGCAGCAGCAGCAGGTAGTAATTACTTCACAGCAAGTTAATACCAACAGCATGCTGAGGTCCGTGAGGACGATGGCACACGGGGCGACACGCGGGGGAGGACTTTCTGTTGTTTTTGGAGGTGTAGTGTTTCTAGCTTTCCTTCGTCTTCTCCAATATGGATCCAATGGATTTGAGACGTCTCTGGCCTGGACAGAGAGCAGTTTGTCCTCTGTGTCATTTTGCCACTCGTTTTTGTTTTTGTTTTTTTTTTTCAACCCCTCCTTCCTCTTTTTTTTTTTTTTTTTTTGGGCAGGATCCCTGAAGCCTTTTGGCTGTGAGGCTTCTGCTGTCCACTCTTCTCTAGCCAGGAAGTGATGAGACGTTCTAGTTAATACGTTCCAGACCGGTGACGTTACATCAATCACCGTTGCTGAGCAATTTCAGGCGGGAAATAAATAACAAAAAAAAAGAGAGGATGAGGGACACAAGGGGTCAGCAGTAATACAAAGGTAATCTCTTTGACCCTTAATGATTGCTTCCTGTACAGACATAAATGGTCCCCTCGAGCTCGGCCTTCCTCTCTCTGAGTGGATTGTGTTGTTTTAATCTCGCTTCATCCAGGAAGCGAGTCAAAGGATATCAACACCAGGCCTCACGTCTACGCCACACGTCAACACATGTGGATCAAAAACAGTGAAAACGCACAAAAACCAAAACCCTTTTCCCTACACCGATGGGTTCGTGCTCTTGTGACTTTAGCGTTGGATTAAAAATGAAAAATGAAGTTCGTTGGGGTGGACAGGAGGCGCAGCCTCATCGTTTTCTGAAACTTCACAACAAACTGACCTGGGCTTCACTGAACAGCCACAGGATGGACCAGGAAACAGTAAGGTCACAAAATGATGCTGTGCAATAATGTTATGTTGGTGTTTGTAGGGATAAGATTTGTTCTGAACACAGAACGTGTTTGTTGTGCTAATAATAATAATAATAGTTATAATTATTTCCGTCTTAGAGTTTCTCAAAGTGCCTTGCATCGCCCACGATGAATATGACTGATGATATATCGCACAAGTTGGTCTTTAGCGTTGCTTTCATGGAAAACTTTAATTGAATTTCTGGAACTAAAGTGAACATTGTTGTGCTTCTGTTTTAAATAATAGTTTAAATATAAGAAATAATGCAAATCCATGAAACTCTTACAACTTTGTATGTCTTAGTGTGCCAAGCTAGGTGATATTTTACACCTTTATTGAGAAAAACCAAAGCATCAAAATCCTCTAGAGTGATTTATTACTTAAATGCATAAGCTGCTTTAATTCACAGAAATCCATAAATACACTCTGGTTTGACTACACTTCCCCCAGATTACCCGATGCAGACAGACAGACATGCATTGACACATAGAGATCTGTACAAATATCAGAAAGTGGGAAAGACATTTCTCAGAGATAATCACGCCGTGTCATTTACTTACATGACCTGGAAGGGGCAGTTGGGGGTGTGGAGAAACTTGAGCTCCTTGATGGAGCGCTGAGAAACGGTGTTGACTGTGGTGCGGCACCAGCACCGCTCCACCAGGCTGATGGGCTTGGCTGCAAGCGACACAAACCAAAAACTCATCACAAAGCTGCAAGCAGGCAACAATAAATGAAACACCAATTCAATCCGACCAATGAGACAAAGCAAAACAGCAGCAGGCGCTAAAATTAGACTGAAATACAATTATTTTCGTTTCAAACTCAAGCATTTTAAGGTGCCTCTTCAGTGAACAAGTTTAATCTACTGTAACAAATCTTCACAAAGCATGGAGGATTTATGAGTTTAGCTGCTATTTTTGTTTCCAGGACATGTTAATTAAAAAGAGATTAGCCCTTTATGGCCACTTCTTTTCTTTCTTTCACACAACCACAGGTGCAGAATTTTAGCCTTTCATTGCAGCGGTATTTAGCCAGGCCACTCTAAAGGGAAAAGGGTCCTCAACCTTTTCCATTATTCCTCCCTTGGCGTTTCTTTTTTGTTTTTCTTATAAAAAGTCCTCTGGAGCTCAGATGGCATCTGCAGGCTGTGTGGAAATCAGCTCAAGGGCATTCGCAAAATGATTACAAATCAGCGCTGTGGATACCCGCTGCGCACCGAGGAAAACAGACATGCAACTATCACTGCACGCAGTTACTCATTTGGCTATTTTTGTAATTTAAACAGCTTAAAAATGCGTTTGAAAATATACAAAATATAACATTTAGCCAGTTTACAATAGATAATTTCACATTTTAAACATTTGCTATGGGATTCAACTCACAACCACATTTATATATATGCATATATATATATATATATATATATATATATATATATATATATATATATATATATATATATATATATATATATATATATATATATATGTAAAGACACCAAATGTCTTTCCACAAATGGCTAAATATCAGCCTAATGATTCACACCCGTTCAGACTTCTTTCTCATGCAAACTAAGGGATTATTATGCAGCATGCAGCACCAGGGCCACAAGCGAGGGCCCACTGCTTTCCCCACTTCACCCTTTATCCCTAATTAGAAACTAATTATAGGAAAGCAAAGAGTAAAAGACAAATATACACTCATACATAGACCCGAGACTTTAATATGCTGGAGGGGGCTGAAACTACAAGCTCCAACAAAAAGCAGCAGCAGCAGCAGCAGGCGGCTCTGCAGCACAGAGGTTAACTCGTAGGAGATTAACGAGAGGTCAGCGCGAAGGGAGCGCTCAAGATTTAACATTCTAGACTTTATTTTTACTGTGGAAGTGAAGACAGGAAATCACATTTGAAATAGGGTCTCAACCAAAAATATTGGGCATATTTTTCTGTGTTCCAGTCAGTAGGACTTAGAATTTATACTGCTGATAGTAATTATGTTATTTATCTAATTATCCATGTTCTTATATTTCATATGTTTTGCACTTTTAAGCCCCCAATTTTGTCTTATGAGTTAATAAAAATGATTTAACAGCACTTTGTGACTCTATCTTTGAATATAAATAAATGATTTCCTCATCAATTCATCCAGTTTATAAAACATTAATATCATTGATATGAAATTATCCTGGTGCTACATAAACAAATGAAGTTAAATTATCACGGTAAGCTCCATCAGAACATTTAATGCACACATCACCTTTAGTTTGAGATAAAACTTTAAGAACCAGTGGGTCGATTTGCCTCAGTACTGGAGAAAACAGTTTGTGAAAAAAACATAAATATAAAACAAAGTGGTCAAAATCGATGGACTAAAGAATGAAAGCAGGTAGAAAAACTGATATTTAAAGCACCTTCCATCATCATTTATCACTGCAACACCAGAGAATATTGTGGAAAAGTTATGACAGAATTCTTTTAGCATAGAAGTTTGCCACCCAAAAACTAAAATTTCTTCAAATTTATCACAAAAGTGCATGAGCTGCAGGAATATTCTGATCCAAAAGCCACGTCTCGTGTTTGCAACGAGTGAAAATAATGAAACAAACGTGTAAAATCTGGAAGACAAGTTAAATTAATGCAAGCATCCAGATGTGTCACATTAAAATAGAAACTCGTTTTTCTCAGCCAGATTGAAACCAGAAAAGTGAAAGTTCCTCCATGCCAGGAGACATTTAATCCATATGTCCACCAAACCAACATACTGGATAAGCTTTCTTTACAAAAAAAAAAAATATATATATATTCTCAATCAGTCACAAACCAGCAAGGTGAACTGGAACCTCCTCAGAGTTCCCAGTCCAGACTCACCGTTTGCAGTGGGAACCTGCACGACCACGGCCAGCAGAGTCATCAGCGCCAGCAGCTTGACGTCCATGGCTTCAGGAGTGGCTTTGCTCTCTCTTCCTCCTTCACAATCCAGCACACGACTGTGTCCTCCAGCTCCGCTGCGGCTGCAGTTAAAGCTTCAGTGGGAGGGAGCAGGAACGGAGAGGGGGAGTCCCGCTTTCTCAGGAGGGCGAGGCGTGGGTCCCAGGAGAGGAGGTGAGAGCGGGGCAGGAGAAGAAGAGAAGACTTCCCTGATTGTAAATGTGTTGGCTGGGAGTCGGTGAACAGCTCTCGGGGCGCTGTTCTCTCCTCCATGTGACATTTCTTTTCCAGATTTCTTCTTTTTTTGTATCTTTACTTGATCTCTCCTATCATCTGTCTCTCTGGGGTTTCCTCTCCACCGCACACAGAGAAACGCCACACACTGAAACCAGTACACTGGCGCTTTGCCCACCAGTCAGGCCCAGTCCCATTGTGAGAGGCAGAGCTCCCTACTGCTGGGCTAATAATGATGCATGCTTCAGCTGAGTGTTGTGTTATTGTTTGCTAGGACACAGACTGCTCCCCCCCTTTCCTCTCTTCGTCTCTCTGACTCCTCGTCCTCTGGCCCGGTTCCTGTCCTCGAAGCCTGGTTCATGTCCTTAATAGGCTCCACGGGACTTTCATTGTCTGCTCCGTGATTACGAGTCTGTTTAGACCTCACATCTGGACCACAATTAGGAGGAAGGAAAAGTTGTGCAGAAAGAAAAAAAAAAGAATAAATAAATTAATAAGAGAAACTGCAGATCTTAAAATTGACTCCTACAATTCTCCATTTCTTGGAGCCAAAGAAAAATCAAGGAGAAGCTGAAGTTTGGAGGGTTCTGCAATCAAGGCTCGGCTTGTGTAGCATTATATTTCATCAGATCTGAAATGTAAAGTTAAGTTTGAACTAAAAAGAGAAGAAAATCTATTTTCTTTCAGTACACAACTGTTTCTAACATAAAGATTTTGCCGTCTCAAGCAGTTTGTTTCCTTATGTTTATGTCCACCTCAAGGACTTTTGTAATTACGACAACCTGTGTTGAAAATCACTTTCTTTCATCTCTTTGTATCCATTTTAATAATTTTCACTTAAAAACTGTCTCAGGTGTCTTATCATAATCAATAGAAATAGAGATCAATATAAAGTCTTTCAAAACAATGTGCCGTTGAATTATATGTGATATTTTTGTACTTTCTATGAAGTTACAAAATGGAGGGCTTCGGTCAGCAGATTTGTTTAGGTTTTTTAAAATCAGTTTAATTTGATTCTCTATTGTAGTAAATGCGAATCACAACTCTTCAATATGTATTATGCAAAGTGTGATTTAAACACGATAATATTCCTTTGTTAAAGCTGAATGTGACTAATAAAAGTGGAGCGGCCAGCATTTTTCCAGGGGCCTCTCCCCCCCGCCAGCCACCTTTCAGGCATGGCACTGCTTGATGAGCATTAAAACACACATCTCTATGTTAAAAATATTAAAAAATTTGACACAATCAAGTTCACAATTGAACTTGATTTCATTTTATCCACCACAAATGGTCAAAATGGTGCTCTGCTTCTTATTTATGTATTTTTTGCCTGGAAGTCAAAGAGATGAAGTGATGAAGATTTGGTGTTTTATAAGATCCATAGATGTACCTCTGAATGGGTTTAAGCATTTCATTTAACCGAGTATGTTCTCTCAAGTGAGCAGACGTGGACAGGATGCTGCAGATTGAGGGCTGTAAACAAAACTCGAAGGGACAGATGTGAGTCCTCACGTCTCCTGCAGCTCTCCGGGATCTGATGGAGAGCCTCGTGCTTCACATCTTGATGAGCTAAACTCAAACAGAGCTGTGCGGGCGCGGCTGTGAGACGCGGGCATGCGGGTACATGCCTCTGAATGAACACGGGACTCCGAGCAAGCACGTAGTTATGCACATTGCTGCCACTTTTTTGTTTTGATGCATTGGATGCTAAACTGCAACTGGACTTTCTGCCAGAACAGAATCCTTGTTCCGCCAGAGGATTTGGATCCCGCTGCACTCAGATATGGAAAATGAAACACATTTCGTTCAGAAATCCAACTAAGAATCACTGGCAAAACTTGATCATTCATGTTCAGAAATACTCTCAGTGCAGCCCGTCCGTTTTTCTTTCACCTCAAAGACATGAACTTAGTCTTTTAACCTTAAAGACCGCCAAAATGTTACAAAAATTCCAATGTTATATCAATAAATCCATTAGTTTCTGTACATAAGAAAATGGGTAAAACATGTTTTTTAAAGATCCTCATTTTCTGAGTCACAAACATGAATGTCAAACGCTTTCCAGCGCCAACATGCTGCATCAGTAGCGCTAATGGGAATATGCCTGAAACTTTTCCTTCGACCTGCGAGACAGCACTGTTACTTGTAACACACGTTAGGTCAAAGGTCAGGGTTTCACGTCTCTGCTTTGGCTTATAGGGTTTGATCTTCCAGGTCTTTGTTCTGGACCGTTCCTGATAGACGAGCACGAACAAACGGCCGACCCGACGAGGGATATGATGGAAAACAGACGAGGGCTGGATCCAAACATGCAGCGCCGCACAATTAGAAGAAGGCGAGCGGATATGTAGAGGCCATTAGGTTAGTTATTCCATTTCTCACAGAGCAGATGTGACTTGTAAGATCTGAGGATGCGGCTGTTTGGGACGTAATGGGGCTGTAAGTGAGAACACGAAAACATTTAACCGCCCCGCGCTCTCGGTTTGCTTTCACTTGTCGTTCCTCGTAAATTAACGCGGTAAAAGGCTTTTTCTTTTTTTTGCGGGAAAAAGGTTGAACGCAGCTTCGTATTGTTTTGTGACATAAACTAAAACCAAACCGGATTTTATCCGACCATAAAAGCAGAAGAGTTTCAACTTCTTGAGTCTTCTTTCGACAGGGAGAGTCGCTAAACAAACCGACGCCACGCAAACACGTCATCAACGTTCTCTGAAGCCTTTACTTGCCAAAGTGAGACCAAATAAACCACAGAATAATCTGTTCAGTAATCTCCCGCCCGACAGCAGAGCTCTGAAGGTTGCTCACGGTTTATTGTGCTTGTTCAGGCGTTTGAGTCTGGTGAAAGGTTTGATTTTATGGTGGCCAACCAGATGAAAGGTTTTCCTTAGATAAACAGTAGTTTGTGATCACGGCCTGGACTGAATGAGCGGTTCAAAACGTAAACACACTTTAGCTAACATGGAGACAAATGTAAACCTGAGTAATAGCTTCTGGATCATTAGAAGTGTTAAATAAAATCACTTTTATATTATAAAGGATGAAAAGTAACATTCTGTGGAGTTTAATAACAATAAAAAAAACAAACATGAATATTTCTAATGCACTTCCTGCCTTTCTGTGTTTTGGTTTCATAAACATAAAATGGGGGCTTGTGGTGTGTGGTTGGGTGGGGGGTAAGTGGAGTTTTCAGGGGTCGCCTTTATCAGCTCAACATGCTTGGTCTCAACATCTGGCTTCTCCGGGGGGACATTATCCCCCCCACACACACACGCACACACACACTCACACACCCACACCCACACACACACCCGCACACACACACACGCACACATTGATTAAGCAGAATGGCGTGTCTCTTAAATGATTAATTACTCGAGTATCCTTAACAGTCTGAAGTAATCTTGTGATGATTTATTATGGATCTGTTCAGAAGGTTGTGCTCACATTTCTAAACAGTCTCTTCAGTGCCCACAATTAGGTAAATAAAAGAAAGAGAGGTCGTGTTTCTTTGTTCTGCTAGGAAACAAAGCCATTATTTTGCACTTTGTGGCTGAGCTTAGGTGGTGCAATGCTGCTGCTGTCCGATTTCACTTTTTATTTCTGTTTCTGTGCTGAATTTATTGCTCACTTCAGCTTTCAAACAATTATTGTTTGAATTGATCTCAGGGTCTTTGCTAGAAGTCCTGCATTTCTATCTTTCGAGTCTGTCTGTTGGCTGACGTTAAGTTTATGGGCCATGATGAACATCAGGCATGGCCCTTTTGCTGGTGTGGACGATCATTTTACACCAAGGTCTCACAAAGCTACGGTTTTAAAACAGCAAAAGATTTCTGCCGCGCCATTCCTACTTTTCAACCTGTTTTAACAAGACGCAAGAGAAAAATACAAGCAAAAGGAGCAGCAAGTATTATTAGCAAATCCAAATCCTCACAAAAGCTAATATGAAATAAAGGTATTAGGAAAAAAGACACACACTGACAAAGGTGTGACCAACTAAATGGAAATATTGTAGCACATGTGCTACAGCATGAATGCTATAAAAAGCAAATTGACAGTCTCCACTTTATCAGACCCTATTGGTCCATTTGTATTGGTTTTGATTCACTCCTTTTAGACTGTAGCAGTGCACTAAACCCAAAAAACAACAAAGATTAGAGAAAATGCATTCAGGGTTCTTCACTGAACAAAACTCTCGACTATTTTAATCCCCATTTCCACGTACGGCACATACAGTCAAGAAGCTACGCAGACTGGCGCTGAAGACATTTCCATTTGAATGTGCTGCTGCTTTTAGGGCAGCAATGCAGTGAATGTGTTTGAAGTCTTCGGCTCTCCTTGCCTGTCATCAATGGAGAATGGCCTCTCATTGACAAATCCAGTTTACTTTGGGCCCGTCTGAGGAGGGGAGAATCTGGCATGACACCAAATGCCACTCAATAGATGCTTCCACCAAACAAAGGCAAAAAGTGGCCGCCCCTCCTCTGCTACCACTCTATCCTTGTCGCCAGCTTGACGGGCACATTGAAATCTGCCTCGTCTTTGCAAAGGCCGCAGTTTGCGTGTGATCCCGTTGCCATAGTTTCTGCCTCTGTATAGGGAAGGACATGTGTTCACTGTATATATTAGAGGATGCCAGAGAAAAAGAGAGGGTGGACTTGAGTGCCTGTGTCTATTGGTGCAACGTTTAAGTGTGCAAGACTGTGATTTTAGGAGCTGGCGGTCGTCGGCTCCTTTTCTCGGCGAAACGCAGAGAGCGGGGAGGCCGTGTAAAGGGATAGACACCACAATGCCAACTCTAATTGGGTGGGATGCACTGTGAATACTCTGCTAAAGTAAGTGTGTGGTTGAGCCATTTGAGCAAGGCTGTGTGAATGTCTGCTGTCAGATATTAAGGTTGCATTTATTTTGTAAGATCAGGGAAACGTGGTACTTTGGTAACCGATGGAGTTGACTTCTACAGAGGTGCAAGGTTTTCCAAATCTTTTTCCTTTTGTTTAACCATGAACTCTGACCTTAACAGAAGTAAATGAGGAATGCGGCGCTTTAGTTGTCGCTCGCAGTTCTTTTGAGACTTCGTGGTTGATCCTTCAATGCACTTTTGGACAAATTTTGGAAGTCTGGTCAGTCAAATTCATGATTGTCCCATGTTTAATCAAATCGTGGACAATAGGACATTGTGTCAATCACTGTGTTTCTGTTTCTTCCTGAATTTGATCGTGAATTACTTTAGACTGGGATGCTGT